GCGACTTTGAAAGGATAAAGGACACAAAATAGCTTAAGACTTTATTTTAGGAAAATTATTTTAAGTTTTAATAATTATTTATTTATTTATTTTTGGCAACTAAGTTTATTAAATTAAAACAATAAATAATAATTATAATAATAATTATAAGCAAATATGTGTTTTGTTATTCGAATTTTATTTGATCCAATGGTAGATGTTAATCATAAATTAATAGGAGCACTTTCTTTGCGAGACTAAACTGTCTTATATTGATTCTTATAGTTCTAAATTCTAAGCCGGCGCTATGTGGGCCCTTAAGCCCATGTTAATGTGCGGGTAAATATACCTTATTTGATTTTTCTTCTCTCAGTGTATTAAATTATAATAAATTCTTGTTTAGTTTTTTTAGTTCTAAACTTTAAAAAGAATTTTTTAATAGTTTTAACTTTGGAAATAAAAGATTTTTATGCTTTGAAAAAAATAGGTTATTATACAAATAAGCTAGAGAAATTAAATTAACTTTTAAAGGTCTTTAATATTTTAATTATTAATACAATTCTACAATGAACAAATATTTAATTATCTAATATATTTAACTAAGATATCATATCAAGAATCATTGTATTGGTCTTTGCTTTTTCTTTAAAAGATAGTCATGTAAAATGTAAGCAATTGTCTGGTATGGATGGCCAAACTATTACTTTGGATAGTTATGACTTCTTTCTTTCAATATACACAGCCAATTTAAATTGTAATATGCTTGCCATGGCAGGCTTAGGTTGGTTGAATGGGCTTTCGGTAAAAATAATGAGTTGGGTGTTCCACAATGTAACTAGTTACTGTGCTACTTGCATAGATTTTGGCTAGAGACAAGTTATCTTCGATGTTTCAGTCATAAACATGATTAATGCGCGAAGTCAACGTTTATAACACATTCCAGCAATGTCAAATTATAAAGCAATTTCAAAACCTCTTAAAATTAACCTATGCTTATGTACTTTTCTAAAATTTAGCAGGCCGTCTCTACTTTCATCAAGGCATGAGTATATGCTTTTCTTTTGAAATTTATGAAGCCATTCGTTTTTTTAATGGTAGGCTTATCTACTTACTGTTTTTAGGAATTAAATCATTAAATAAACTTTAAAAATATGCTATACCAATTTTTAGAGTATTGAATTTTCCCATTTTAATATTTAGTAGAATATCTTCCTAATTCTGCTTAAGGCACTTTTAACACATAATTTGGAGCTATGGTTTGATAACTATAAAAAAATACTGTCAGTTTTGGAATTAAGCTGTTGTTATAAATTATAATAGAAGTAATACAATTAAGATTCAGAATAATTGAAATATTATTTTAAGTTGTGTTCTCTGAAGAAGACCTTGCTTGCTTAAATATATAAAAACAATTGTTATTAAATACTAAGCTTCGCAGTATCTGAAATATGGTAATGGATGTTTGTTAGAATTCGCCAACCATTAAACGCATTTATATATCTTTCTAATCACTTTCTCCTATGGGAAGCATAATGTCTCTGTTATCTTTATTATGGAAAACCTTATTATGGAAAAAGGTTACCACATCGTTCCAATAATAATTGACATTATTAAACTGTGCTACTGTTTTCCACCAAGTCATCTATGACATCAAATTTCTCATGGTTATTCTACATTTCAAAATCCCCATCAATAAAAAACGGAAGTGAAGAATAATAATTAAACACATTTTATTTTTATGAATAATCAGTTAAAAAGTAAAGATCCTTTACCTTTGCTTCCGTGCTTCACTTTTCATATTTGTTTCTTATTAAAAACCATTTTTTAAGTCAATACGGTAATACATAAATTTTTTCCAAATCATTAATCATTTGCCTTACTTGGATCACACTGAAACCAAAAATTTTACGAGCACAAATGGGGACTTTTTTTCCAATTTTTGTAGGAAACTCTTTTAATTATTAATCTTTCATTGCAAATTTAAACAAAAATCCCCTTTTACTATTGAGATGTCTTTTGTCTTATCTCTTCGAGTAGCAATATATTTCATATAAAAGCTGCAGTTGTTTCGAATCTGTTATCAGTCTACAACACAGTTTATTAGCGCATAAACAAATTATTAATAAATTAAAAATTAAACATGAATTTCTATAAAATATTCTTATTCGTCGCTCTCGTCGTATTCGCTTTCAGTATGGGAGCTGAAGCGGGTTGGCTTAAAAAAATTGGCAAGAAAATTGTAAGTATTTTGGTTATTTGTATATATATTAAGTAAAACTTCTCATATTACTTAAATGAAAATTAACAAAATTTTTATTAATTACAGGAAAGAGTTGGTCAACATACCAGAGATGCCACAATTCAAACGATTGGAGTTGCTCAACAGGCAGCAAATGTGGCAGCGACTTTGAAAGGATAAAGGACACAAAATAATTTAAGATTTTATTTTAAGAAAATTATTTTAAGTTTAAGTTATAATTTATTTATTTTGACAACTAAAATTATTTAATTAAAACAATAAAACTAATTTTTATAAATCTAAAAACAGTTTCTAAAGTTTAAATTAAAACAACATTAAGGATATATTCATTTATATGGAAAACTTTTTTAGCACGAAAACGTATACGATAGTGACAGTAGTAACATTATATGCCATAAATGTTCAAAACTTATCGTTCCACAAGTCCCATATTCGCCTAATTTAATAACGTGTGAATTCTGACAATTCCCTACGCTCAAGACTGTGCCTGGTACACCTTTTCGGCATGGTTGAAGAGATAACAAATGAATCTTAAAAGTTAAAATTGTCACATTTATTTATTTAGTCACCTTTCCTAAAATTCAGATTTTTAATAGTATTTTTTATTTTTTTAATAGTTTTTTTTTTTTTAATAGTATTTTTACGAATCGAATAGAAATTAATAACAAGCTATTTTATATATTAGCTGCATTACCTTAAAGAAGTATAATATTGTTAAATGTTTCAAAATCTCTTTTTATTATGTTATGTTTAATTTTATGATTAGATAAAAATATATATATATATGTATATATATATAAATAAAATATTTTTAAAAGCATTTTAAGTAAACTATACAAATACGGAGTTTATGAAGGCTATGTTTTTGATTCTAGAAAGGTTTTTTGATCTCAGAAATTTAAGATGTAACATAAGCAATTTTCTTACTATAATTTTTCTCACGATATTTTTTCTTAGGGAATTTTCCAAGTTTAGGAGAAACTGAATCATATTGGAGCATAAGTCATATAACTATCATTGTGACCTTCAATGATTTACCAGTGAATTAGCTGCAAACAACAGTCTGCTTGAAAATTGCAGGTTCAATTAAATTTTGACATACTATTAACGAAGCATATAGTATTATTATTATTATAGCAATTATTATTTTATTGTGATATTTTTACTACGACGCTTTAGAGAATTTCTTCAAGTCTAATTTCCTCTATAAATTGTTGTATGCAACCTACACTGTAGAGTTTAATTTCTTAATCCGATATGAGAAGCTCACCATTGTACTAATTTAACTTTCTTTAAGATTTGTGCCTGGCACACTCCCAGTATCTGTTTTAAAAGCTCTTTTTTTATCTATAAAATCTATGAACTCTTTCAAAGTAGGCTTCCAGTTTTGTAAGGTGATAGTTTAACCAACAGTGCTTTTCGGAATTCCTGTAATGATTCTTAATGATTTTTATGTAATGATTTTTAGTTGCATACAATCTTTCAATGGCTTTAGGTTCAAAATCTTTACAAGTGATTTGGATTGTATTAACATTTGTAGATCACCTCAGTATAGCGCTCTGCTTTTTCTCTACTTTCCGAATCAGTAAAAAGAAATTACAGAATTACTCCAGGCCTACCAGCAACAAAGCTGCTCCTTTAATAAATAGTTTGTCTGCAATTTTGTTGCCGGAACTTCCAAACTGGAACCCATACAATTAATATTTTTGGGTCTAGTATTCATATTGTGTAGGTATTCATTTCGTTTTGACCAACGGTGTTTAGCTTTTCAAGACACTCCATCATCCGTCTTGATATCATATGATGAACATTGAAAACCTTTATTGCTGTTCGGATATCTATTAAAATTGTTATTTCTGGTTCTGATAGTTACATTCTAGGTTAAATTAACATATACACCTTTCATGTATACACTTTATATCACACTTTATTTATATATAGATATGTGTGTTTATCGCATACATTTCTGCTAACGAATATTTAATACCCGACCTATATACACATGTTTCAGCTCCTTTTTTAGTAAGGAAACCGTACGCATACCAAGCATAGCATATTTATATTGTAGAAAAGTTTCCGATATACAATATAGACTTAAGTCGAAGTCTACTTCATGCATCTTAAGATGTACAAATCCTATTATCTTCACAACTTACAACTCAAATATCAAAATATTTATTATCTCGGGAACTTGCCCTCTTTGTCTTGTAATTTAAGATCCAAATATTTCAATTAAATTGAAAAATAAACTACATTTACTACGATCTTCTTTTGATTCCATCCTAATAGAATAAATATTATAAACTAAGGTAACTAATCTTATATTTTACTATAAGTTATTCTTAACGATTTTTATTTTAACTGCAACTGTCAATAGAATTTTCTGGGTTAAAAATAATATTTAAATATATTATTAACTTTCACTTCTTATTCAACTACTATAATTACCTTATTTTTATTTACTTTATAGTATAAATGCTTATAAAGCCAATGAACTCATCTGCATAATTCTTTTGAATCATTCATTCATCAACAGCTTCGGTGATCTTTTGCTGCAACCTAAAAATCTTCCGCATATTTCATGGGATTTTTTTAAAAATGTAGTAGGGAAGTTTTTACTTTTGCTAAAATTTCGTAGCAAATTTAAACAAAAACCCCCTTTTACTTTTGAAAATTGTGTTATCTCTTGCAGCACGTAAACTATTCATATAAAAGCTGGAGTAAGCTCGAATCTGTTATCAGTTTAATTTACACTCTACAATCGCAATAACATATTAAAATTATAATTCAACAATGAATTTCAATAAAATATTCTTATTTGTTGCTCTCGTCGTATTCGCTTTCAGTATGGGAGCTGAAGCGGGTTGGCTTAAAAAAATTGGCAAAAAAATTGTAAGTTCAAAATATTCACAGACATAAACATTTAAACAATTCACATTTTGTTATATTTTATTATAGTTCCTAAAAACTCCTAAAAAAGCTAAATATCAGTTACTAATCTAAAATTTTTATTAATTACAGGAAAGAGTTGGTCAACATACCAGAGACGCCACAATTCAAGCTATTGGAGTTGCCCAACAGGCAGCAAATGTAGCAGCGACTTTGAAAGGATGAAGGCACTAGTTAAGGAGTTTAGTTATTAAGAGCCAATTCTTGCCATATTTTTAATTTAATAATTTATTTTAAACATTTAAGCTTTTTTTTAATTAGAATAATAAAATATTTAAAAAATTTAAAAAAACTGCCTCTTTATTAATTTTAAAGCATAAAATATATATAAATAGATTATATATAATAAATATATGAATATATTATATTAAAAGGCTATAAAGCTTTTTTGTAAAAGTATGATCAGCTATGGAACTTTGGATTCGGGGATATACTAATATAGCGAGAAGCAATAGCACTAATGAACTAATGAGACTTAGCGCCTTTTCGTTGGAACTTCCAGTTGCAATTCCTTCTTCTGCCAGACAAAGACGAAAGTTGGCACACAATCACTATTTGCGACAGGTCAATATAAATTTGATTATTTCTTTAGGAGCCAGCTTAAGAGCGACATTATTGGATTATGGAACAACATGAAACCAGATTGAGCCTGCTTTGTCAAATCTCTTGTAGCACATATCTACCGGCACTCGAATAGGAGACACCGGAATACTTTTTGCGTTTATATCTAGACTTATCCAGAAGTCCAGAAGTTTCTTTTTTTACTCAATGATATTTTTAACAATGGTATTGGTCAAATAAGAAGAAAAGCTTGAACTATTTTTTGCTTTAACTAATCGATATTTTATCGTTTGTTGTGGTGCAGTAGCTTACCACCACTTTTAATTTTTAAAGACTACAATAGTCAACTTTAGAAAAAAAGTTCATTTTTAATTTAAAACTTAAAGAGATTATAATACTGATTAAATTTAAATAGTGTTTTAATTACCAGATAGCTATAGCAGTTAAGTAACTGCTGTTGATATAGTGACAAAGATAGTAGCATAAAATACCACATCAAGTACAATTATAATTAGTATAAAGTAAATTATATGTTAATATATATATATATATATATATATTAGTAAATTATATATTTTTATATATATAATTTATATATATAAATATATATATACCAATATATATATATGTATTTTTTTTTTGTATATTTTTTATAATATATATATCTTTTCACTATTTTTTTCACATCCTGTTTTTATATATTATTTTTATATATTCTCTTTACATATTTTTTATGAATTTGTTAACGTTTCTCTTATTTATATTATTACTTTTTTATATTTTTTTTTAATCATTTATATTTTTTCAACATCTGTTTTATCGTTCTTATATAATTATTGTTGTACTCTTTTTTTTATTACTTTTTTATTATTGTTTTTATTATTATTTAATGCAATAATTTTTATTTTATTCAAAAATCTTCTTTCTTACATTCGTTTTGTCAATCTTTTATAATTTTTGTTTTACTATTTTTTACACTACCTTTTAAGTATTGATTTTATTATTATTTGTTGTAATAATTTTTATTTTATTATTTATTTGTTTTATCATTATTTCATAATAATTGTTTAACTATTTTTTTATTATTTTTTTATTATTGTTTCTGTTATTTGTTGATATAATTTTTTTTATTATAAATTTTTTTACATTTGTTTTTTCATTTTTTTATAAATATTTCTTACTATTTTTTTATTTTTTATAAATTGTTTTTATTCATAATTCATATTTATCATAATTCATAATTTTATTCATAATTGTTTTTATTATTTGTTGTTATATATTTTTTTTCAAATTTTTTCAATATTTTTTTGTTTTATTATTTTTCTTATTGTTTTTGGACTTTATTTTATTCATTTTATTAAGTTTATTTATGTTATGCATTTTATTTATTTTATTAATTTTATTTTTTTGTTTATTTTATGTATTACATTTATTTTATGTATTTTATAAATTTGATTTATTGTATTTATTCATTTATTGTATTTATTGCATTAACTTTATTTATTTTATCTTTTTATTATTTATCTATTTATTATACATCTATTTATTATTTAATTATTTAATATTTATTATATATATATTTGTTATTTATTTTTTAACTTTTTTTCATTGCTATTTATTGTTATTATTATTTTATTGCTATATTTTAATTTTGCTATTAAATAAAATTTATTATTAATCTATTTATTATTTATTTCTTTAATATTTACTATACATATATTTGTGATAAATTTTTTTAATTTTTTTTCATTGCTATTTATTGTTATTATTATTTTATTACTATGTTTTAATTTTGCTGTTAAATAAAATTCACAATTTTTTATACGTTTTTTATGTTTTTTGCCTATTTTAACTTTTTAATAATTCAATATAATAATGGATCTTTATTTATAAAATGAATATCATAATTTTTAATTTACATTAAATAGCATAGAAAAAGTCATTGAAGAATTACATTTTTTAAACGAAATTTATTCAAATATATTTAAATATTTTTTTTTTAAATGTCTATCATTACTTCAATGTTTTCAAAAAATAAACCTATAGTTTTGACTTTTTTATATTCGTGCTTTTTTTAAATTAACTTGTTTTTCTTTGTTTTTTTATATGATTCCATTTTAACAAGTGCCAATTAATTTAACAATAATACAATAAATTATATTTAATTTGCATTTTTGGCGGAAAAAGGCCTACGAAAATGTTTGTTGTCCGAATGTGAACCTCTTTTTTCTCAGATAATTTTCATATATCAAAATTAATTTATGTGTTGGTCTTATAGTCGTACTTACACAAAGTATCTTACTATTTCACCTATTTTGTAACAAACAGTTATTATTCAAAATGCTATGATTGTGCTCAGATATGTATCTATTATCCCATTATAATGTCTACGTTCACACTTAAAATGTGATGTAAGTGAAGAAACCATAGAAATTAACTAATTAAAATATGTAAATTTATAAACTGTCATAAAAAAAAGTATACTTTAAGTGATAAATGATGTAAAAACACTGCTTTCTTCAATAATTATTAATATTATTATATTGTCTTTCATTTACAATTAACATAACAATTGAATGTTTTCATAAATAATATATAAATGAAGTAAGACTTGGACTATTGATTTTATTTTGAATTCTGGTTTAAAAATAATAATAATAACAAATGGATTTTTTGTTGTCTATTATTAAACTAATTATGTTATTATATTATAATGAATATGGAAAATTAATTAAAGTAATTTTATAAAATGGTATGTGTGACTCTTAGTGAATTTGAATTTAAGTAACTTTTAAGTTACATTAATATATTTAAAATAATTAGTAATATTAAAGATGTTACGTTATTTAATAACTAAGGCTACAAATTTTATTTTAAAAGTAGGCTAGCTGTCCAGATAGGTGCTATTTTCCACAATTGCTCTCAAAGTTGTGGGTCTAAGAGCAGGAGTAGTTAGGCAGGGTGAAGCAGCTAGAACTAATATATATATCCGGGTGTCTAACTTCTTCTTTAATTATTTATTTAAAAATTGAATGTTATACAATCATATAAATTATAATATGTTAGAAATGTTTTTGAAGTTCTCTCTGCCTCTAGCAGTATGTGCCAAGTCTCCAATCGTTCTTAACCCAGTCCAGTGTCGGATGTTTCTCAACTAAGACATATGTTTTCTTCCCATGCCGCGTTTGCCTTCGATTCTATCTTCCATTCATTCGATTTTGTCTCTACCGATACTATTTAAAGGCATTGTTAGTAAAGTAATAACTTTTTATACCTTCTTTATAAGGTATTTCCAAAGGTGCCAATGTTGAGCAATAGAATTATGTTGCTCATCTGTTTTGGAACTGTCATGCACTTGCCAAATGATTCTATATATTCAAAGAGACACAGCGATTTTCCGCTTCAAAAGTACTTAAAAAGGAATATTTCCTTGAAAACGATTTTGTGTTTTCTTGACCCAAAGAATCTCTTCTTATATTTCTTTTAGTGAGAAAAAGAAGTATATACAGCAGATATACAATACATGTAGATAGGTAAAAAATTTATATTAAATAAATAGTTTATATTAAATTAATAGTAGTGCGTCTTCCTGCACTACTAGATAATCTATCAACATTATATCTTTCGTCAAATATATATAAATATGTCTACATTATATGAATGATGATTTAACATCTGTTAACGTTTAAAAAAATCGTTTCTCACATTCATTTTGTTTATATAAAAAATTGACAACATCTGAATAATTAATAGAGAAATACAAAATATTGAACAGTTGCGCTTTTT